CCAGTAACTACACTCTAAAATCCGGAAAGTTCACGAGGCGCCACGAACCCCCGAAAGCCCGTAAAGAAGAACCCGCCAACAAGCCTTTCAAGCACGCAAAGCCAAACCCCGAAACCCGAAAACGGAAGAGGGCTGACCTTGTCGTAGTGGAGTAGCATTTTACATCTTAAGGGTACTTCAGTTTATTAAGGACTAGGAATTCAAACTCGAGTACTATCCCAACCATGAACCCCGAAACCCGAGAACGGAAGAGGGCTGCGATGCGCCCGGAAGGACAAAGAGGCAGAGATGGTCATGGCCTCCCTCAGGCACCAGACACGGCTTTGCTTTTCGGGTTTGCAGGGGAGGGGGGGGGGGGGTTAGCACGATCGATTTGTAAGGGAAGCTATTTTGCTGTGTTAGCTATTTGTTGTTTGTCATTTATTAGTCATTGCTTAGATATTTTCAATTTTTGGAACATACATGCACACCTATAGAACATATTAGCAGAAGATGGACAGCAAGAAAGCGAGAGAGAGAGGGAGAGAGGGAGGAACAAAAGTGGTGATCTACATATGCGATCAAATTTATGGCCTTTGCACTCACACCCTGGACTGCCATATACATATATATATATATGTGCACATATACATACACACACATATATAGATATATGTATACCTATATACATATATATATATACACATAATATATATATATATACACGCATTTACGCACGCACACACACACACACACACATGCTGCCCCCCCTCATGCTGCCATGCCTATGGTTTTCTGTTGGGTTCAGGTGCTCCCACCCGAGTCTTGCTTATGCAGTCTGCATTATGCCTCGCACATATAAATATATATACACATATATATATATAGCTCACCCCCCCCCCCCCATGATCCGCGATTGTTTTTAAACAGATGGATCTTGGGAGGAGAGGGGGCTATGAGATAGCGATAAAAACACCGACAGGGCCGATTAAAACCTGGAGCATTTTCAGTCAGGAAGGTCGTTGAAATCAACATGGTATAAAATATCCCCCAAAACCACATTTGTTTAGAAAACTCGAGCCGGCTCGAATTTTCAAAAAACGCTGATGCAGTAGGTCGCCGAAACACGAGCAGGCTCGAATTTCCAACAAACCTAAAGTTCAGGATCTATGGCCCCAGCAGCCCGGTAGATCCTGAAATTTAGGTCTTTTTTAGAAATTCGAGCCTGCTCGAGTCTCCGGGACCTGGGGCTTCAAGAATTTGAGGAATATTTTGAGCCGGCTCGAATTTTCTAAAAGAAATGCTGAAACCATGGCTGTGTGACCCCAAGGCCTCACAGATGACAGAATTTAGGTGTTTTTTGGAAAATTCGAGCCTGCTCGATTTTGGCGACCTGGTGCATCTTCGGAAAATTCGAGCCGGCCCGAGTTTTCCCTAAATCTCTTGAAATTCTGATTGCGAGAATTGATACAGATACAATCAGTACCATTCTGGATTAGTTCTAATTCAATTGTTCCAGTAAGTTTCCTATATATTTTAACGGCAAATATTGAAATTGTGAGAAGAGGCCACATATTGGCTTGAATCCAACAACCGTTTTATTCTTAAACCCTTGACATTTAATATAAGAACCACCTTTGTTTATTTCAAAACATAAATTATCATTGAGGATATCTTCGGGACCAGAAGTTCCATTACATATACAAAGAGGAGAGACAAGGTACTTTAATTACATACGCTTTAAACTTATATTTAATCAGATAGTTTCAAACTGTATGATTCTTCTTTACTATTGTTCTTATTCTTACCTTTCACCTCCTTAACTGCTTCTTCTACTTCAATATTCTCAACTAACTTTCTTATCTCTTCGTAAGCATTTTGTTTGACTTAATTTTCTTTATTCTCTTTCTCCAGTTGTTCGCATGTTGTTGCTTTCTTATGAAGCACTATTAATATAATTTAGGTCATTGAATCAAACTGTTGTAACATCTCTTCTTCAGTTATAGGTAGATTCCCTGATTTGTTTTTAGCATTGCCTGTATCTTCATAAGAAAGATTTTGTAGATGATCTAACGTTGATTCATTTGATGGTATACTTCCTTTATGAAACATAGTACCGGGGTCTCCTGCTTTTCGTATTCTTAAATTTGTCCCAGTGTCTTCTGGTCGTAGTGCTGATACAATAGGAGAACCACAACTACGACTTCTGAATACATTACCATAATCATTGTTTGATTGTTGTCCCGATGCTGAACCTAAACTGTGACTTAGAATATCAGTAATCCCAGTATCTTTCAACCATCTATTTCAAATAAAACACTTCTTGCATGAACTGATCTACATCTTTATAACGTTGAGCCTGTTGCGTCTTATGTAAAGGTAGCTTTAAGTCATCATAACATCTCTACCGCTTCTTCATCCCAGCCATGTATAAAATAGAACCATTTTGATGAGTCCCGTCAGGATTCTCATACGCGATTTAAAGTCCTTGCGTGTCCGTTAAGAATGCCTCTGTCCCCGCTAATTCGTCTTAACTTCAATATGGAATCTGCTTCTTGTGTTAGGTGCTTCATTTCAAACCCCTTCACTTCTTCTTTTATGTTTATGCTTGATAAAAATAGTGTGTAGATTTTTTGTCTAATTAATGAATAATATTGAAGTTCAAGAGGGTGGGGGTAGTTATTATAGAGTGAAGAACAGAGATGTGCAAACCGCACAGCGCCAAATCCACAAACGGATTCTGTTTGTAGATTTCTGTTGTTTAAAACTATACGTAATGAATAGCAAGTTGTAGCTATAAAGTATCGTAAATACCCGTGTTTTTCACTTCAACTACAGGTGTAAGTAAGCACAGGTGCAGAACGGCAAGCAAGAAAAGGACACATATGGATCATGGGGGGGGTGACCATATGTATATATATATATATGTATATCACATAATTGAATTAACATCTGACACCGACTTATCATGCCAGCGTAGGGCGACATGCGAAAAACACAAAATAAATGTTCAAGTTTATCAAAAACCTGGGATTGAAGATGAAAGATTTGGTGGGGGCGGTGGTGGTGGGTGGCGAACCACGAACCCGATAATATAACAAAATACATATGCATTCGTATATGTATATACACATAGATTGCATTTTTTGGCAAAGCCCTATTTTATGAGGGAAGACATGCGTATCGGTTTCACCTGTAGAACCTGCGCTAGATCCAACTTGTTTTGGTTTCCGAATTTAAGGCACCCAACCTCACCCTGAACCCTATATACACCCTGCAAACGCAACTCTAAAGCCCTAAACCCTGCAAACACAACTCTGAAGCCTCGTTTGCCAGGCAAATCTTCCGCGAGGCCGACGAAGATGGCTCGGGCGACTTGGACCACGGCGAGCTGCGCACGGCCTTGGGCAACGGGGCATGAATCAGTTAAGGGTTTAGGGTTTGTAGGGTTTAGGGTATCAGGTGTTCACCCACCGGGTTACTATAGGGGCCTTAATAATTCGAATAGGGTTTTGGGGGGGTTATCCTAGTATAGATAAAGGGACTATGAGGGAACATGAATAGTACTGATTCCGACCCCTACATTACCCCATCTCCCCCTTTTCAAGTACAGCAAGGGGCATTTTTGCTGCCAATCTTGGGTACATGCCAGCCCTGTCATTACAAGGTACCTAGTGACCCATGAATTGCTAGCTGCCTCTGGGGGATGCAGGTTTAGGGTTTAGGGTCTAGGGTCTAGGGTCTAGGGTCTAGGGTTAGACCCTAGTCCCCATTGAGGCCACAAAGCGTGCAGGCTTGCTGGGGGTCGTACTGCAAGCTTAAGTCTTATGTCTGAGGGCACGCCATAGGCCCCGAAACCGCCTGACTCCTGGCTAGCTAGGGGGATTTGGCTCCTCATAGACCCATGAGAGGTTGAAAAGGCTGTCTCCATGTCAGCTTAAAGATGCAACTTAACGAAATGGGCCGGTGGAAAGTGAGCGATAGAACAGGCACTTGCCGTAGAAACCTGAAACCATGCTGCAGCCCTTCTTGCGGCTTCAACAGGCAAGTTCCGCGTTCGAGATCGCGCCTTGCCTCTGCCATTGGCAACCTCCCAAATCCCTAAGCCCTAAACTTGTCATAAAAGGGTTGAGGGACTGTAGGGTTCGTGGTTTATGTGGGTGACTCGACTTCAAGTTGAAAAGAGTGTAATTGACTAAAGAATTAGGTTGAACCCAGGCAGCTGGCTGGAGACCTGGGCTCATCCAAGTAGGAAAATGCTGAGATGTGCGCGCTATAGGGTTTAAGGTTTACGGTTGAACTGCGAAAGGGTCGAACCCATGTTTGCAATGCTTCTTGCTCATTGCTTTTTTAACAGCTAGGAACAGACAGGTCCTATACATCCGAAGCCTTTCAGAGACCCAGAGTAGGCCCTTATTCCTTTCTTGTTGGGTTTAGGTTCCCTAAGCAAGCCCCTTTTCAACCAAAAAAGGGTTTAGGAACCCTAAACCCTAAACCCTTTTTTGTTCCTAGCTTACAGTCGGGTCTAGTATCGGATGTCGTCGTTTGGGGCCTTGTCGCGACGATCTGGACAGCAGTCCAAAGACTCCCAAAACTACTTGAAGGTTCATTGGGGCAGGTTTTAGGGTTTAGGGTTCAGGGTTTAGGGTTTAGGGCTCCTAGAAGGTTCATGGGTAGTTCTAAGTAGGCTTATAAGTACCCCGAATACGGGGAGAACCAGTTACAATGTACCTATAGCTACCCGGCTTATTACCCATGAAACTCGAGGTATGGACCACCCAGCCCAAACTCTAAGGGCAGCTATATGGGCCGTTCATGTGGCCCCTTTCCTCCTTTTAAAGGGTTCTGAAGTATGGGCCCTTGGGTTGCGTAAAGGGTATGTAAGGGGGTGCCCCTTTAAGGGCCAATATTAAGGAACCATGCAACTACCCTAAGACCTAAGCCCTAAACCCTAAACCCTAAACCACACCCTGGCAAACTCAGGACTCAAGCTCCTACAGATCCCCTATCCCGATCTTGAGATGCTCTTTCTCCTGTTAGACGAGGAGCAGGGAGTCGATCAAACACCGTCGGTGGGGTTTAGGGTTTAGGGTTTAGGGTTTAGGGTTTAGGGTTTCGGGTTTCGGGTTTCGGGTTTCGGGTTGCCACTATTCAGCCCCCTCAAGAGAATCCAACCTCAAGAGGCAAGACCCTTCCGCTCTTTCATCGTGGGAACCCTACTTGAAGGTTCATGGGTAGTCATAAGTAGGGTTATACGTACCCTAAATAAGGTTATAACTAGTTATAAGCATAGTTCCCCTATTTATAACCCACTTTTACCTACCCATGAACCTCCCAGGGAACCCTACCTAGAGTTACGGTTCAGGGGTTACCCCTCCAGGACAACAAAGGCCTTATACTAACAATCCTTCATTGGGATTATAGTACCCCCCCCCCCATTATAATCCCTATTAAGGACTGTTAGTATAAAGGGGAGCATCCCAAAGGCTACAGTACACCCTAAACCCTAAACCCTAAACCCTAAACCCTAAACCCTAAACCCTAAACCCTAAACCCTAAACCCTAACCCCATCCAGGACAACAAAGGCGTTATCAAGTGCGACTACTTCTTCCGCGGCGTAGCGAAGCTGCGAGGCCTAGCAAAGGCCAAAGACCTGCATCAGCTGACGCTTGGCCGAACACTTAAAGCATACTAAGTACCCTCTTCTTCTTTTTTCTTTTGGGAGGGGGCGGGGGGGGGGTGCAAGGGTCGGTTCTTTTTGGGGCTAAAGGTTTTGCATGGCCAGTGTGCTGAAGTCTAGATGCAGAAGGAGGTTTTGGGGTATGTTGGCCCATTTGCTCTTGAGAAAGAGCACAGGGGAGGCATGCCTGGGCTCACAAGGGCTTCAGGGTTAAGGGGGGTTTTGGGTTTTGGGTTTAGGGTTTAGGGTTTAGGGGGGAATCTCCTAAACTACTTATGGGGGGCCCCCTCCCACAACATTTTTTCACGCATATGAAGCAAGGTCCATCGACCTTAATCGGCGCATGCTGTGGGTGGACGAGAACACTGGGAAGATTTCAGGCCCGACGTCGCATCTTGTGGTTCGTGGATGAGTTGCGCACCCTAAACCCCTAAACCCCTCAACCCCTAAACCCCTAAACCCCTAAACCCCTAAACCCCTAAACCCTGAACCGCGCAGAAGCGAACGACATTTTGATGGACATGGTGGATCACCTGGACGAGATGGATACCCACATCGTCAAAGGACCCACGACTCGTGACTGTAAGGCGCATGAATTTCCCCACCGCCCCAGACGCGACCACATGGAACACCAGCAGGTAGCAAAGTTTTAGGGTTTAGGGTTTAGGGTTTAGGGTTTAGGGTTTAGGGTTTAGGGTTTAGGGTTTAGGGTTTAGGGTTTAGGGCATGCAGCGTCCTTCTATCGCTTTCCACTTCGGGTTCTTTGGTGTTTGACGGGTTTGGGTTGCCAGGAGCCTCAGACCCGAAAGCCTTAGACCCCCAATCCCCAAAAGCCCGGTCCAAACCTGAAAGCCCAATACCCTACAGTAAACCCTAAACCCTAAACCCTCAATGTGCAGGAGAAACAGATGGCAAAGATCCGGTGATCGCTGCCAGGTGTCTTTGCCCAATCGTCCCTTTCGGGTTTAGGTTTAGATCTGGTGTTCTGGACTGAGAATAGACAGAATGGGAACCCTAAACCCTAAACCCTAAACAATAAGCCCTATGTCACAGGACCTCGAAGAAATGCACTGACTTGTTTTTGAATCTCAGCCATACTACACCTCAAATCCCAGAAATGCGAGTGCACATCAACCTCGGGTTCTCGCGTGGCCTTGCGCTGCTGCAACCCCCAGTGCGCAACCACTGCTGCCCCCTTCCTTGAGAAGCTGACCACCGAGCTTGAAGTTTGAGCAACTAAACCCTAAACTGTAAGCCTGTAAGCCCTGAACGCCATGAATCATCTGAGGCGCAGCAGGGAGCCTGTCTCGAAAGGCACCAGGGTCGGGTGGCGCAGCTTCGGCTTGGGTTTTCTTGACATTTTTGGGCGCCGTAAGGGCTGTAATGTTTAGTTTCGACAGATTGCAAGGCATGCTTCTTTCAGTTTGTGACTGGTAAGTACCTCGCAGACGTTTGAAAGGCGCGTTGCCTGCCCAAAGAAGTGCAGCGCGGTCGGGGCGTGCGGAGTAGCCCTACGAATGTGTTCGATGAAACCACAGCCCGGTTCTGAAGTCTTAAGTGTCAGGGTGGGCAGTTCCGCCCTACCAACCCTATAAGTACCTATGAGCCTGATGAATCCTCAACCCTAACGGCCTTTGTACGATGGTTCCAGGGCCTTCGAGTTGTTCTGTGCTTGTTTTCTGGCAGTTTAGGGTTTAGGGTGTAGGGTTTAGGGTCGGAGACCAGTCCAGTTGCCGTCGGAGTTTGTGCTTTGGGACTCCCTGTTTTGTTTGCTTGAAGTGTCCTGCGTCAGGGAGTTATAAGCAAGAATAAGTGGGGTCAAACGCCGTTTGCAGAATATTATGACCAGAGAAGTTGGTTACCCATGAACCTTCAACTGGCAGGGTTGGGACTTCGAGGGTTAAGGCAGACTCGCAACTGGGACGGAAAGTCGTGGAATGTGCAACCCTTCCCCTAAACCCTTGACCCTGAACCGTTTGGGCAGGGCGAATCCTGCGCGGCGTTTGGAAGGACGGCCGCAACCTGAGTCTCAAAAGAACGACGATGTCTTGCGTTTTAGGCAGGGGGGTGCTCGAAGGCCCTCAACCTGCAACCCCAGTCAGGTTTGGCTTCCAAGGACCCAGAGTAGGCCCTCACTGCCTTTGTTTTAGGGTTATGATTCCTGCATACTGATTTCAGGCTCTGGTGTGCAGTTGCCTGCATGCGCATGAGCGTCTCTTTGCTGCGTCGCGCTAGGCTTCTCTTATTGACAGGTCGCACACGCGCGATCCTCTTTTACTGTCACTATAGGCTTGGAGATGTTGAGGTTCCGGCTTTCAGGAGGAGTCAAAGAAAGGGATTCTAGAGATGTGCGTGTAGGTGTCTAGCATTAAGGGTCAGGGTTTCAGATTTAGGTTGTCTGCATGTTAGACGTACTCCGAGCATCTGTTTAATTGGGCCCCCCCCCACAATAAGAAAGGCAGGTATTGATTCTCGATTTAAAAACAACACGAATGTATTGAAAACAATAGGAATGTATAGAATCTCTATTCAAACTGAATAACAAAGAATTGACTATCTATAAAAAACAATAGGAATGTACTGAATCTTTATGAAAAAGAGAAGGAAAATTCCTTTAAATGTGGTGGGTTTGCACCATACGAAATCCACCTACTGGAAAGTAGTCTTCCGGCAGGCTTCCGGCCAAAAAAAAACTCCTTTAAATGTGGGGGGGGGGGGGGTATTAATTAAACAGATGCTCGGATTACCTGCTGCGGTGTTTCCAGGCACGGCTTGTTGAGTGTTCGGGTCCCTATACTATTTGCTGAAGAACCCCCAAAGAATAAAGAATAGTCATCCCTATTCTACACTTAATATGGAAGAATGTTTTATTTTCTCGGGGTTCTTAGGGATCGAATCCGATTCTTGGGTCAAGAGGATAAAGCGACAGGCGCTTCGGACGGCACCCTGAGAATCCAACTCTATCCGAGCCCATACACCCTAAACCCTCTAACCCTAAACCCTCTAACCCTAAACCCCCTAAACCCCCTAAACACCCTAAACCCCCAACCCCCAAACCCCCAGAACCCATCTCAGGCCGGCCTATGCGCCAGGGCTCGAAGAATCCCTGGATCGACTTCGATGAGTTGCAGAAAGATGCCAAGGCCTCTGGAAGTTCAGGTTTTAGGGTTTAGGGTTTAGGGTTTTAGGGTTTAGGGTTTAGGGTTTAGGGTTCAAGGTTTCTGGGGTTTGGAGTACTGTGCTTTACTTATTCGTTTGGTTTAGGGGTACTTGGAAAAATTCTAGTTTTGGGTTTGGGGTTTAGTGTACTTGGAGGTTCATGGTACTTAGAGACCCAATTATAACTGCACTTATAACCCAACTATAACCAGATTAGGGCACTTAAGGGGCTTATAAGGCTTATAAGTGTTATTAAGTACCATGAACAGGCTCCAAGTAAGGTTTGGGCGGTCAGGTCTTGAGGACTTGCATAGGCTGCAAAGGCATCAGGTTCATCTGCAGGTATTTGGGATGTTTGGTGCTGAGGGCTTAGATATTTCTGGTTCATCGTTCTAAGTGGGTGGGTTTGCGTGATTGCAAGTAATCACGCAAAACCTATTGGAAGCCCTCTTAAGAACCCCAAAAACCATTCTTTTGTAGGTTACCTGTAATGGTATTTCCCAAAATAAGGTATCGCTTTTGTAGCCCAAATAGAATAGAATCCCTTCAAAGGGACCCCCTAAAAGGGTACCCCTATTTTCGGAAACCCCCAAACCGACTTTTCGGAGAAGGTGCTCTTGAGAGCTGAGGCCGCGCAGGGAGCGAGAGCGAAAAGCTTATAGTGATCGAGGCGTCAACTAGGCCCTATGGTACTCAGGGTTTAGGGTTTAGGGTTTAGGGTTTAGGGTTTTGGGTTTCAGGGTTTAGGGTTTAGGGTTTAGGGTTTCAGGGTTTAGGGTTTAGGGTTTAGAGGTTTTAGCTTCCCATGTCTTGCCCGAACCGAAGGTTTTTGGAGATGGTTGGGTCAGGGCCCGATGTGGGGGGAAAGCTAATGCAAGTGCACACAGGAGATTCGGAAGAAGAACGCGTCGCCACTCTGCTGCATCATCTTGTCTGATCTAGAGAGGGGCACTGCAGCAGTTTCCGAGACTTGGAGAGCGACTTACCGGAAACTCCGAAGCAGCAACTGAGGAAGAGGCGCGCGGAGGCAGGGCAGCCCCGCTTCCTGTACTTCCCCACCCAGGAATCCCAATGATCCTTCGCCTCTTATGTACAGGCTCTTCGTGGAGAAGGAAGGGAAATTCGGCACCCTACAGACTTCCTCAAGAAAGGTACCCAATGTCCTTCATTCCCTACTAGGAACCCTAAACCCTACACCCTAAACCCTAAACCCTAAACCAGGGGCTTCCTTGCCAGCCGAATCGCCATGGCAGGCAGAGGCGAAGAAGGCAGCAGAGGCAAAGCCGCCCCTGGGACCAAAGGAACCCTAACTTGGGGTGTGGGGTTTAGGGTTTTAGGGTTTAGGGTTCAGGGTTGCTGTAAGGGAGGTCCTTAGTACCCGGCTGGCTGCAGAGACCTGGTTGCAAAAAGGGTTTAGGGTTTAGGGTTTAGGGTTTAGGGTTTAGGGTTTAGGGTATAACATGCCCTATACTACATCAACCCCTTCTTTTCTTTGTCATAGCGGGGTAACACTTTACAGTTTATGTGTGCTTGAACTCAATAAGGAGGTTTTCATCTTTAATACTATCCCAACCACGAACTAGCTAAGGTATACGAGCAACAAACCCTTTTCAAGTTCATGTGGTCCCCAGGGTTTCAAAAGCGAATAAAGACCGCCCCCGTGCCGATTCTCTGTAACACCCAACTGAGCATCTACTAGAAGGCAATGCATTCTCTCAGCCATTTGTATCTTGTTTTGCTTTATATCTGTGTTTAAGTTTTTTTATGTTTTCTGCCTCTCCCTTTTTCTCTTTACATTTTATATCGACTCATCGGCGTTCACCTGAAACTATTTGCAAGAGGCTCGCATTTCTTCTATGCCTTTGAGCCCCTTTGGCTCTGTTGTTGTTTGTGGGGCGTGCGTTTTCCCAGATCCTCCATGTGTTCCAACCCAAACAGCCATGACCGAAGTTGTCAACACATCCCACCAAGCAATGTTGTCAACACATCCCAGCACTCAATTGGTCTGCACCATGCGCATGGCTGCAGGCATCTGGACTCGATCCACCTTGCCGGGCTTTGCAAACCGGGTTCCGGAACCCGAACTAAACCTAAAGAAGATAATAGAGAGTGTGTATATATATATACATATATATATATACATATATACATATATATATATATGGATCTCTGCTTAATACACATCAGCAGGCCAGATTAGGCTTTGAGGTGCCGCAACTGCATAGGATTGGCTCTAACCCTAAACCCCGAGCGATTGGACCCTGTTTGGGGATTATATCGGTAACTCTACAGACCAAAATTCTGAGGAAGAAGAAGCGCAGCAGCTTCGACGAGGCACCTGCTGCTAAATCTGGGTTGAGGGCAGGTGGGGTTTGGGGTTTAGGGTTTATAAGGTTCAGTGTTTGGTACCAACGCCCTTGAATTACCTGAAGCTGTTTGGGGTTAAGGGCTCAGAGAGCGTGAACCACTCTCACCCCTTTCTTACAAATCGGCGTCAGGACGATCAGCCGACGCCACCGCCGCTCCCGGCGCATTTGCAAATCCTCAAAGAAGACCGCGACAGGACCTGCACAACTTGGTAGCCCAGTGGCACCCTTTTCCCTTTTTGTGGTTCAAGGTTCCCTTTTAAATTTACCAACCAAAAAAGGGTGCCCTTATTGTAATATGGTTACTGGGGTACTAAGATAAGTTCAGGTAGTTGAAGGGACGCTTCAAAGCATCGTCCCTCTACCCTACACAAGACATGGTACAGGCCCAATCCCTGAACGCCCTGCTTGAGGCATGAGGTCCCCTGCCGGAGTGCTGGAGTTCTGGTAAACGTGCCGAAATGAGTCCCCGATCGAGTTCGTGCTGTCATCCACAAGCATTTTGGGCTCGTGGGCTCGCCGGCTCCATGCACGCGAGCTGAGAGCATGGGAGTTCGGTGATTAATATGTTTGGCTCGTTTGGCAGATGTGTCGTCCTGAAATCTATCCCATGGTCCGAACACTACATGCCCATCCGGCTCCTCAACATGCCGCCCCCAACATTGGCAGGAGAAAGAACGAGAAGTTCGTGGTGAAGCAGAAGAAGAAAAGGGCCTTCACCGCAGGGTGAGGTTTCATATTTCGTTGGCTTCTTTCTTGGAGCCTACGGACAAAGCCATCGGACTTTCATGGACTTGGCCCCTCGAAACGAATCTTGATTCGGGCATGCTTGAAAAGGGTCATGTCAGGTAAGTGTTGTGTTGTTTGCAATTAGCACATCTTACACAGCATGCATATTTGCCCCAACCTCACGAACACCAAGCCTAACCACATCACCTAAACGACCCAACACCCTAAACCCTAAACGCTAAACCCGAAACCCTAAACCGAACGCCCCACCTGGGATCAAATAATTCACCCTGCTCACGGGCAGCAGACAGTTAATGACCTGGGGTGCCTGGTTCCCCACATGCAGGGGAGCACGGCACAGCAGCAGCAACGACGGTGTGGTTGTGGGTTTAGGGTTTAGGGTTTAGGGGTAGGGTTTAGGGTTTAGGGTTTAGGGTCTTCGGGGGGTACTCTAACCGTAAAATGGCCGACATTTGCCCTTGCGTAGGACGTTGAATCTGTTATGATACCTTGGTCTACACTCGCTGGGAAGAGGAGGGGTTTGTTGCTGCAGACCCCAGTGGTAGACGTCGCAGGAGTTCGGTTGGCAAAGCCAGCGTTCGTCCTTGCATGATTGTGCCGGCACCATCGAGAACTACAAAAAATGTTGCCTTCTAGGCGCTGCAGGCCCATAATTATGTGGTAATCGCTCCACCCTAAGCACCACGCCCTTGAGCAAGTACGCATCTTGGCTGTTACGAAGTCGTCGGAGTCGGTTCTTCTCCGGCTTGTTTTCACCACCTCGAATCTCAAATCCGAAGGCCTTGCTTTTGCCGGAAGTCGTGTGCATTGGTCTGAAGGTGGTATCCTGACACGAAGTGTCGAACTATACGACACGAAGTGTCGATCTACACTTTAGGGACCGTGTCTTAATATTGCACTTGGTACTGTGTCTGGGACCCAGAGTAGGCCCTCATGCCTTGTCGTATTATAAGCCCCTTTAAACCAAAAAGGGTACCCTTTTTGATTCCTAGGTTACTCCTGGGTCTAGGTATGGTTCGGCAATTCCACAACTGCACGGGAAGCGAGGCAAGACCGTCTCACCCTTCGGCTCGCGAAGGGCTCGGGAACCTGCAGCGACGCACGGCAGAAGGATTACTAAAACCCGCTGGCCGCCAATGGCAAACTGGTCCTTCCTAGGGGGGTTTGGCACCCTGCAGCTTCTGTTCAAAGATTCTATCCCTAAACCCCAAACCCTAAAACATGAAACCAACAAATTCTGAGGTTTCGGGGCCTATTCGAGGTCAGAGCTGTAGCGGGCGAGGGTTTCGATTCCTCCTTTGCCAGGGCCTAAAGTGTTTAATTAAGCAAGGTCGGTTGTTGCTGCCAATTTTAGGGTTTCGGGTTTAGAGCCAAAGTCAAAAGGATTCAGGGGTGCGGGTTTAGCGTTAGGGTTTGTGACCTTCGGTTGGGGTATGTGTTGCAAGTGGTGTTTTGGTTGGCTTGGGTTCTGTGGGCTAAAGTGGCAGGGCTCTTCCAAAATCTTGGGGCCCTCCACCCCTTGAACTGGGGGATCCTATAGTGGACAAATGACTGGCAGGGGGCTGACTGATAGCGGACAACGAGCCTCTGTAAGCTCGGAAGTCCCTAAACCCTAAACCCTAAACCCTAAACCCTAAACCCTAAACCCTAAACCCTGGATTTCGGGTTCCGGGCTTCCGTGGCTCTGTGCTTCAGAAAGTGTCAGACCCCCCCAACACCTGGCCGCAGTCGGGCTCAGGGCTCCAGTGCTGGTAAGGGTCAGTCTAGACTTCGCGTATGGGGTTTTCAAAGGATTCAGGGAGCTTTAGGGGCGACTCTCTGCTTTGGGGAAGCTATGCCGCCCCCTGTGCGCTACAAGCCGCCTCTGCCAGTGCGCTTCAAGGCGCAGAACGGGGGGTGGGGGGGGTTGGTTCTCCTTTGGTTACACACATGATACATACACGTGTATGTGCGTGTGTGTTGTGTTTGTGTTCGAGAATTTGGGGTCTCGCCGCTCGCCGCACCCCACAGAGAAGCCATGTACTTTATTTAGGGTTTGGAAGGGTTTAGGGTTTAGGGTTTGGGGTTTAGGGTTTAGGGTTTAGGGTTTAGGGTTTAGGGTTTAGGGCAACCTCCGCTCCAACACGAAGGCCATGTCCCCTTGCCAGGGTCATATAGGCGCCTGAATAGTTAGATGTTTTTTTTTTGTTTGGGTTTGGGGTTTGGGGTTTAGGGTTTCGGCTCATGATTAGTAGATGTATATAGGGAAGGGGCCCCTAGGGGAATATATAAATTTGTCCCGACCCCTACATTATGTTGCCTCCTCCATGTGGGGCCTTTTGTCTGCTTCTGGGCCGCTCGTTTCGGCAGACGGCTTGTCCCATGCAGGTGCCGAAGGGGAACATCGTTCCCATTGCGCCCAATGAGCCGGACATTCAGCTTGGGAAGGCCGCGCTTCAAGTTCATCTGAGATGGACATCCTACACCTATCTAGGCCCCGGCACGCAAACAACCCCCACACCCAGCGATCCGAATCTTCATGAGAGATGCCCTAAACCCTCAACCTATGGACCCTAAACCCTAGACCCTAAACCCTAAAATCCGAATCCTCATGACAGATGCTGGTGGCTGCGAAGCCCCACCGTGTCACCGCCGATCAGATCGAGATCGGGCGCCGAACTCTCCGGAGGCGGTTTATTTGCCGGGGCTACAGATTCGAGTGAAACCCCTCTAATCCGTACAACCAGGACGCGGTTAGGCTTCGCAATCTCCATAATGAGCCAACCGTATAAACGGCCTTCCTGAGGGTCCTTGCGCAGCTCGCCTGGCACCCTGAAGCCCATTGCAACCGGCAAAAATCACAGCTGCAAATCCTGAACCCGAAGCCCTAAACCCTAAACCCTAAACCCTGAACCCTAAGCCCTAAACTTCCTAAACGCATTCGTGCAGGTTCTTGGGGCGCAAGGGCGATTTCTTGGTCAATGTGCACGCCACCTATGCGGCACCCTGCCCAGTTTGCTTCGGGTTTTGGGTTTTGGGTTCCCTAAACCGTGTAAACCAAACATCCTACTACTACTACTACTACTAGTACTACTACTACTACTACTACTACTACTACTACTACTACTACTACTACTACTACTACTACTACTACTACTACTACTACTACTACTACTACTACTACTACTACTACTACTACTACTACTACTACTACTACTACTACTACTACTACTACTACTACTACTACTACTACTACTATGATGTCCCTTTGGACCACATGAGCCCTGAAAGGGTTTTATGGCCCACTGTTTCCCCTGGTTGTTGGAGAAGAAGTAGGCCAGGCCCGAACCCCGGGTACTCAACCCGAACCCGCGCCCCTTTGCATGGCATACGATGCGGAAGTCTCCGCCCAACCTCCTGTGCACGCACACGAATCGCGCAGACTTATCCAGCCTGGGCGCCTCCCGCAGAATCTCAGGGGAGTTACGTGGTCCCTTAGTATGGTCCCTTACCTTCTTTAAAGGGTTCTGAAGTATTGGCCCTTGAGTTGTATCGGGTGTACAAGGGGTATATAAGGGGTCCCCTTGTAAGGACCCATACTACGTGACCTTGTCACGCCAAGCCTGGGCAAAGAGAGCCCCCTAAGCTAAGCCCTAGACCACCCCAAACCCTGAACCCTAGACCCTAAACCCGACCCTAAACCCTAAACCTAAACCCTAAACCCTGAACCAGTCGCCCTCATTATCATGAACCAAACAAGTGCAAGCTTCTTTGCTTCGTCTCTTGTGAGGTCACTCGCAAGCCGCAGGGTGCCAGGGCCGCAAGAGATTGGAGTGCCTTTAGGGTTAAGGGTCTAAAGGGTAAAGGGTTTAGGGTTTAGGGTTTAGGGCCCAGAAGATGTGTTTTTTTATTCCTCTAGGGTTTTAGGGTTTAGGGTTTAGGGATGTAGGGTTTTGGATTTGAATTTGGGATTTCAGGGTTTCGGCCTGAGTTTCCCGGCAGCCGCGCAGTCCTGGTTTCAAAAGGATTTAGGGTTTAGGGTTTCAGAGTTTCAGGGTTCAGGGTGTCAGGGTTTAGGGTTTGGTAGCTTTTAGGGTTTTAGGGTCTGGGGTTTTGGCAAAAAGGGTTTCAGGGTTTAGGGTGAAGGGTTTCAGGGTAGGGTGTAGGGTTTCCGGGTTTAGAATTTTAGGGTTTTAGGGTTTCAGGTTTCGGGTAGGGTCTCCTCTCAACGGCATGTAGACCACCTATTGGAGCGGCTTCGAGGGTTCTCGTCATGGGGCTCCCCCAGCTGAGGTGTGAAGATGGGTCAGGGGAAAGGCAACATCGAGTTCTTCGTCGCCCGCGTCCCTGCAGGGCGAGTTATGTTCAAGCTGCTTGCCCGAAGCCTTAGACTTGGGGGGGGGGGTCTAGGGTTTAGGGTTTAGGGTTTAGGGCCTTTTTGTTGGTCGCTGTAGCTTTCCATCCTGTGTTCCCTACCTTGTCGGGTACCAAACCGAGAGGGCCCACAATGTCCACCCTCTTCTGTCCCCTAAACCCTAAACCCTAAACCCTAAACCCTCTTCTGTCTTCTGTCTGCTTGGGGGGGGGGGGGGGGGTTGAGGGAGTCGGCTCCGTGGGCTTCACTCACCGGTGTGAGCAAAAACAAAATTCAAAGCCCGAAGCCCTAAACCAACAAAAACTCTTGAAGCTTTAGTGTTGAAGTCTGCAACACAACGAAAAAGAGCAACAAAGGCCCCTAGAGCCTTCGGCCCTGAATGTGGACCCGGGAAGGGTTTATCCAGGGTTTAGGGCTAAGAACTATGTAGCAAGAGCTCAGGATACCTTCGCTGAATCCACTGCCAGGCCGGGACTTGTGTAATGCAGGGGTGCTTGGCAGGTGAAATTGATGTTTCTCTCGGCTTGCAAGGATCTCATTTCAAGCTCTCCTTGCCGCTGTTTTAGCGTGCCCTGCTGTGCTTAACCTTTGTGAAGTCCATGCTTTTCAAGGGGAGTCATGCTTTC